AGATTAATATATATTTTTTAAAATAATAAATTACAATAAAATAACTTTATTAATTATTAACTAAATTGGAGAGAATACCAAAGGGAAAGCCCGCTGCATCCAAACCCTAACCCCTGAGACCATGGGAGAAAAAATAAATTAAACTCCTTTCATAGAGTGAATTAAACTTCTTTCATTTAACCTAATATGATAAAATAACTTTATTATTTTTAAAAAAAATAAAATTTACAAGATCCGTCATTTCATGTGATTCGTCATTTATCAGGGATCCACCGCCCCCACGTTGTATTGTCTCGACTCTCCAGATGCCTAAATAATTACTAAATATCGTATCGCAATCTTACTATCGGACGTCCAACTCCCACTATTGACCTGTTGATTCCCTTTCGATAATTTAGTTTTTTTTTTTTTAAAGTAAAAATTATATTAATGGTATTAATATTTATATCAAAGAAATAAAAAAATATTAAACTTAAAATTTGACTTGAAAATTAACAGGGTACTCTCGCTTACTTTCCAATTAAAAATGTGATTACAGTGATCACATGGGTGAAAGACAGTATCTTATTAAATATAAGTGGCACCAACTCAACCGTGAATGTGCATAAATGATGCAGCTGTTGATGACCCGCCCTCGCAGCGTTGTAATGAGGAAACGCCTTGAGCTGAAGTTATGTGTAAGTTGTTTGCTTAAAGAGGCATATATATTTTTTATTCATGTTTTAAAGGTGAGGTTGCATGCAGCCTTATTTATAAAATTATTAAAATATTTTTAATAAAATTATTACATATAAAATACTTTGTTGATATTTTTTTCATTTTAAAAAGATAATGGTGTTTTTAAGTGATATTCAATTCTAATGTAATTTGATTGATACGATCCAAACTAACATCATCCAATAAAAAAAATAAATAAAACTGATATAAAATTAAATTGATTTAAATTGTAAAGTTTTAAAATTCATATAATTGATTTGGTTTGTGATTTTATTTTTAAATTGCTTAAATCACTTGATTATAAAATAAAATCTGATTATAAGATAACTTAATTAAATAATAAAATATATTTTTTGTAGTATTTTAAATTTTCTTTTACTTGTTTTGCAAGATAATAATTTTATTAACTTAATTAAAAAATAAAAATAAAACATCCCCATATTTCCTAATTTATTTTTCCTTCTTAATTGTACATTTTAATCATAATTATAAATTTTTAATTCACTTACAACTCTACTTTTAAAATCCTAAATTTCTAATTTATTTTTAAAATGATATTCTAATTCTCATAAGTTTTAAAGAAGTATTATTCTAGAAATATCATTCTAGAAGTTTTAAAACTATATAATTGAATTAGTCTTAATATTCTAGTATTCTTGCATATTTGGTTGAGGAGTTTTAAATTTTGATTATAAATGCTTCTAATTAATCCTAATGATATTCATGTTAAATTTTATTTGTTTTTAGTAGGGTTCAGAATATGAGATTGAATCATTGGTGCCTTAAGAAAAAAAAAAACTAGTTTTAATATTTAAAAATTATTTATACTGTACTTAAAACTTAAAGTTATCTTTTATTATTTTTAACACTTCTAGTGATATAGCTAAGAACAATTTTCAAATCTTTTCTATCTTTACAATTTAAAGGAGTATAAGAACTTGTTTATAATTTTGGTTAAAACCTAAATGTGGTCCCTAAACTATTATACAAACCCCAGATTTAGTCCCTGAATTAAAAAAATCTCTGATTTAGTCCCTATTTTTTACTATTTTGACCTCGATTTGGTCCTTCCGTTAAAAATCTCATTATGTGTGCTGTTAACGCAATTGAAATTTTTTTGTTTTTGTAATAATAATAGCGAAAAGGGTATTATTGAAATGATTTCTTTTTTATTTTTTCTTTTTCTTTTTTTTTTCTTTTTTAGTATGGAGGACTTGCAAAGGTTGTTTTGGTTGAAGTTTACCTCCTGGCTCGTCTTCCTCTTGCGCGTTTTTGTCCATTGTAAACCCTAAAAACCCAAATTGGGAATTTGCAGAAGAACAAAGGGTAATCAACTTGTCCGCTTGAGCTTAGGGATGATAATTTTCCCTAATCCCCGCGAGACTCTGCGGGGAACCCCCACCACAAGGATGGGGGCTATTTTCCCCTCATAAAATTACGCGGGGCCCCGCGAGGATCCCCATCCCCACAAAAAATTTACAAATATATAAATTAATTTTATTTTAAATTTTATTCAACCTATTATCAAACCCAAATCCAAACCTAATCCAATAAAAATTAAATTTAACCCAACCCAACCCAACCCATAAAAATTAAAATTTACCCAATTTTACACAACCCAACCCAACCCATTATTAACCCTAATCCTATTACCTTAACATCTCATCAGTCATCACTCACTCTAACCTTCCCCTTGCTGCTGTCAGTCCTGTGTGCTAGCATTCTGAAAAGAATTTTGCTTCCAAGATCATGAAATGAAGAAAAAAGTAAAAGAAATTTGAGGAATTAAATGATGAAATACGTTTTCTTTGAGCTTGTGAATGATTTTGAGGCGAAGCCAGTCGAAGTCGCCATCATCCTTGAGCTTTGCTATCACATCTTCTCTACTTATCTTCCCGGCTACTTCTCCCGTTGTCTCTAGGCAAACTATCAACTGCGCCAAGTTCCCTTGTAGAAGCAGACCATTTATTTGCTTATTTTTGTTTTGCTGCTCTGAAAACTCAAGCGCAGAGTTTGTTCCCCTGCACCTGCAGAAGCAGATCTGCTTATTTTGCTTTTGCTGCTCTGAAAGCTCCAACATTCAGCTATTTTGCTCTTCTTCATCCATCTCACTAGGTGTTCTTTTGTTGTTTCACATTTTCATCACATTGAACATGTTTTTCCTTTTTTTTTTTTTTT